TGTTCATAGCCCTTTATCTCTTCTGCATTCCCAGAAGGTCTCTGGAGATCAATTCATAAAACAAAGACAGTGGATGGAAGGATGTTACATTTTCACAAAGGAAGTATTTCTGCATCAGTAAATTATTAAATAAGCCTTGTTCCCTGCTTGTGCATTAATCTGCAGTCGGTTGCCATATGAGAGACATAAAAGAATATTCTAAGTCTTGCACAAGCTTCACTTTAGTACCAGGAAGTACCTGTTGATGAGAGATAAGCAGCCTGCCAGGATGCAAGTGGTATTAGTCTAGCAATTGCCTAAAATAATTTTCTGCTTTTGCCAGGAAACAATGCACTTTTTCGTTCTTGCTCAGTGTTTCATCCATGGCCAGAGCAGGACTCTCCCTTCATTTCCCACATGCTCTCACACTGACTTCTACATGCTGCCTTTGCCATCAGCCTTGATCTTACATGTTCACCTTGCTGCTGCTCCACAGGACCAGGGAACACACACAGGCTATTTCCTACCCCTAAGGAATCTATCAACATCTTGATTCCCTACCAAAGTGGTACATTATCTTACTGACAATGTTTGTAACCTTCCGCAGATCACGTTGCTAATAGCTGTGTCTAGGCTGAGAGCAATTTTTCCTTATCATATGGGTGTTTAACCTTTTCAGCTTTCTTCTCGCTACAAATGAACACAAGCTCAGCATCTCCCCAGAGGTTCTAACCACCAGCGGGTCTTCAAAGTGGCAATTAATCATCAGGAAAAGAATATACGCTGGTGAGGGTTTTTTTCTTTGTGAACCACAACTGACAGTCTTTTACTTACATACTTCTACTATGTTTTCAGTAAACAATTGAACCAGAGAGTTTTTTCAACCCTATTAACTATGAAAGCAGGGAACATGTTCTATAAACAAAAGTGTGCAATGCAGCCCATTTCCACAGCCACTTTCCCTCGGTCTTAGCACTCAGCAAGGGGCAGCACAAGGTGTCTCCCACTCTCCCCTGCTCTCCAGCCCATGTGGGCAAAGATAAGAAGAAAAGGCATTATTTTTAAAATAAATAAAATGAAAAGGCTCTCAAAACACCAAAGCAATTGTCCAGGGAAGCAGCGTAATTGCAGACTGGGCCAGCCTACAGTGTCACCCTGGAGACCAGCTGGCAAACTCCAGGCCTCCCAAAAAAGGGGGGCCAAGGTAGCTGTGTGTGTAAACAAGTAAAACGAAGTAGATAAGGAAGCTTTGCCGTGAGGCTGTGGCCCAATATCACCTGAACTTGTTGCTTGAGCCTGGAGGCACAACACTATCCAAGCCTCTGAAACACCTTCCAGTCCTGAGTGGAAACCCCTCAGGATCAGAAAAGCATTGCAGGTAAAGGATTTTTTTTCCTGTTTGCTACTTCACAGTAAGTTTCTCTGATCAGCCAAGAGTAGTTTAATTAATTTCAATTAAATCTAATTTTTAAATCTAATTTTTTAAATCTATTTTTTAAATCTGATTATTTATTTAGGTATATAAATATATGTATATATCTATTTATACATATGTATGTATATATGCAAAAGAGCAATTGCAGTAATGTCCAGCTATCAGAAGGGTGAAGCTGGATGATACTGGTCACTATGGAGAGAAACATGGGAGGCAGCTGCAGAGGGGTCAGTGAGGCTGGGAAGCCAAACTTTTAAGGAGGTGTTTAGACAGTTGTCAAATACTCCTGCAGTTTTTGTGCTTTTAATGATTCAATTAAATTATTAGAAGTGAACTAAATGTGTGCAATTGGTTTAGGCCACTTAATCTATTCTGAGATCCTGAGATCTTCTGCTCTGGGGTGGGTGGTGTGCTGCTCGTGTCTTTGGCCAAGACAGGGGCTTTCAGGAGCCTGGGCAATCCAGATGGAACTCTGCCTGACATACTGCAGTGGCTTTTAGGATTTTCATAGGAGGCTCTTGGGTGGGCTCAGCTGAAGGATAATATCTAAACAAATGTTGCAGAGCTTAGTCTGAATCTGACTCTTTCCAGGTTTAATCTTCAGGCACAGAGGAATGTAAAGGGATCTGGTTTCTGAACAGCCTAAGATTCTTCTGGAAAAATCCAATCCAAAATTTAAAGTTTTGTATTTGTTAGGAATAAATGCAATCATTCCTGTTTGGCCTGCACAACACAACATCACCTATAGAAACAAACAATGCTGACAGTGTGGGGTAATTGTTCATAGCCTAGGCTGTTAAACAAAACAAAACTCTCTAGCATTCAAAATTAAAATAAACACTGCTGGTTAATTTCACTGAGGGAGACATCTGATGGTCTTGGATGAGATACACAAATTAAAACCATTTGGAATTACTTTTATGAATTGTTCTTGTTTTATTAATGGTATTAAGTTTTAACACATTTGTACACTATGCAGAGAATGGTTATATTCAACAAACCCTGACTGCATCTTTAATTACTTCACATTATCCAGAAAGGAGCAAGAGCAAAATGAAAGGGGAGGAAAGAGCATGTGAATTACTGTGATTCCTCCCTCCTTGCACTGATTTGGAATCTCTTTTCTTACAATATAGCCTAGGAAGGGTTTACCTTGAACTTAAGCCTGCAGCCAACAGAAATAGGAAAGTGATGTAAGTGACACTATGGGCCAGGCTTGCATGTAGCAGGTTTTGTATTTAACTGGTTTTCTGTAGTTTCTGGATGTATAAAAAGGGTTCTCAAATGCTGACTGCCATGTGGCACAGGAAGCCAGGTCCTGTTTAAGAGGTTTTAATGTGATGTTAAAACTCAATTACTTTGCAAACAGACTTTAATTGCTGAGTTTTGTACAGAAACTTGTTGGTGATTTAGTTAGTGAACATTATAGAGAATGCAGATTTGCAAAGAGAGCAGAAATATTTGTTATTAGTGGTTTTAACCATGATATCTGGGGGGAAAAGAAGTGGGAATATCTTTACCTATGATATTAGTGAGATTATTGGAGTGCTCTGATCCATTTCAGAAAGAACACTGGGAAAAAATTGAATAGCTCAATAGCTCAAAAGCTCAATTCTGCAATAGCAGAATTATCTGACATCTGGAAATTCATTTTTTACCAGGAGTCCTGAGCTATGCCTAATTACTAAGCCAAAGTGAGTTTAAAAGGGTACTTCAAGTACTTACACCTGGACATTTTAAAATAGGTAGCTCTTTAATCTTGTAAGAGTAAACCAGCATCTAATATGGTGGAAATTCAGACTAGAAACGGCATATATTAAAAGAAAAATTATTCAGTGCTGGAACAACTTAGCCTAGAGACGGTGAGTTCTGAGGCAGAAATGCTTATAGATGTAGAAGCAAACTTTATTCTTACTGCAGAAATTACAGAGGACATAACATTGTGTAGAGAGAATCACACTGCACAATGATACACTTGCATCATGTACTCTGTATATAGATGTATATTTGCTATATATTATATATAAGCAATGGTACATTATTACATAATGTAAATATAATTTGCACTGTATTTCTGTAACCTCATTGTATTTTAAAGTATTTCCAGCTAAACATTTCCCCTTTAAGGACAGGTCATTGTTTTTAAAAAACATTTTTGGCTGCTGATCTCACACAGCTGTGAGATCTGCCTGGTCACTGGTTAATGAGTTCCCAGAAGAACTTTGCTTGCTCTGTCTGAAGCAAAGGCCAAAATACTCTGTATTTTACTTCTCTAGACTTCTGCATTAAGCTAGTACTGAAACCATTTGGGGAGTACAAAACCATTTTATTTTTCTGGTTTTTTCAAGCCCAGCTGGAGTAATCTAAAGTGGTTATAAAATTCATCATATTTGGCATTACCAGCAGCCATAGCCAATGCTCTGTAAACAGGAGTGGATGAACAGTTAAGATGAAACAGATTAATTCCATGTTTCTTAGACGTTTTGTCTGATCATTTAAATTCACACTTCTTCACGTGGAATGACAATGGGATTGGAAGTGTCACAGGGCTGCTCAGCTTCATCTCCTCATCCCAGCATGGCCTCAGCACAGCACCAGCCACCCTCTGAGCCTACAGCTCTGCTGTAACTTCTGTGACTCTTGTGTGCCCCTATCCCATGATGCTTGAAGGGCTGGAAAATATTTTGGGAGTCTTCATGGTCTGCTGCAGACCCATCAGCCAGGCTATGGAACAGCAGTCTTGGCACTGAGCATGTGCCCAGGATTCATTGTGGCCCTAAAATATCAGCATGGGCATGTGAGTCCCACTTTTCTTAGCACTAGCCACAAATAATCCCTGTGGGAGAAGCAGAAGGTCTCTGCCAGCCTGGGCATGCTTCTCTTGGTGGTGCTGTTGCAGCACTGCAGAGTCACAAGCTGGTTTTCCCTATTTTTATTCCACTGTTTTTCTCTGAGGGAAGGTGGAAGGCCTTTGTTGTCAGCATGTCAAATCCTGGGGTGCTAAATACTGTGAAAGTTTAAGGTATTAATTTGTTCTGCAGTTGTGTTTAAAAAGCAGTAGGTGTCATGTGTAGGTGACTGCTGCTGCTCAGATATGCAGTGGGAGAAATCTCTGCTCTGCAGAATCGGGACCTCAGTGGAACAAAGGCAAAGGTCCTCAGCCAGGATAATTTTTTTTCTTCCTGTGGTCAAATGATAGCTGCAAATCTGGCCAGGTGGAAGATGCTTGGCAAGGATGCTATGGACACAGAGGGAGTCACACACTCCTGAGTGCACTCATCAGTTGTCACAGTGTTCTCACACTGTAGGCAGAAATTTCTTACACACAGTTTCCTGTCTGCATCTGGATTGATCACAGGGTGGTTGCCTGAGCCCTCCTTTCATGGTCAGTGGCCTATATTGGCAATTTCCCTTTCTGATAGGAGGATATAAGGAAAAGGAAATAGAGGGTCAAAATGGGTCCTCATGAAAGAGTTGCTACCAGCAGTTTGCAAGTTAGGAATTTGGGATGCTTTGTATACTAAGGCAGGTTTCAGCACTGTGTCTGAATGTGAATCCACGCCACATAAGTGTTTTGGTCTTCCAGATGGGCACAGCAAGGCATGACCGAGAGATGGCAATCATTGCAAAAAAAAACCTGCCCAAAATCACTAACCCTTTAGAAAGACTTCGCATGCAGTGTTTAGCAAGGGGATCTGCAGGCATCAAAGGACTTGGCAGGTGAGTATGCAAGACATCAAATCTGTTATTCAGCCTAATAGTTTTAGCTGCAAGAGGCTCACACCCTAAACAGGGACCAAAACTTGAGTTTTCAAGTTTTCCTTGAGTATTCTCATTTCAGTGTGAATGCCACAACCCACAGAGCCTGCCACTGGGGCTTATGTGTTTTGGGACACAGGACTGACCTGATCACTTTTGAAGGATTGAAGACTGTGAATCCCTCATGAGAAAGCCCTTCTGTGAGACCCAGAACAACTCCTGCCAGAGAAAAGAAGGGAACATTAACCATATATCTCTCCTTGGTGTTTTCTAAAATTAACTTAAGTATTTCAGCACTGGAGATTTTAAGCTTCCTTCCGGGTATGATGCCCTTGTTGTAACGGTCTATTAGGTGTCCAGTTTATGGGAGGCACCTAAAACCTTTTTGCAAGCATCCCATCCCTAGGAAATGGGCGTTGTATCACACCCTGAGATCCCTCCCAGGCCCCATACATCACAAATGGATCCAGATGGTGACCAACTGGAACTTCATCTAGATGTGCCACTTGCAGGGGCAGAGAACTATAATGAACAGTAATGCTATGGCAGCCTTTCCCATATTTAACTTCAGATATGTAATATTCATACACCCTATTTAAACAAGACATCTCTACTGCCAATAAGGGGGTTTGTTGGTCGGGGTTTTTTTTTTTTTCCCTCCCCTCAGAATACAGAACAAGGAAGAAATGTTATTTCAGTAAGGTGACTCTCTACTCCAGTACTGTACTAAACCACTGCAGCATTCTCCATGTTTTCCTACGCATTTTCCTCAAATTTCTTTTTTTCCACAGAGCATTTAGGATTTTTGATGGTAACAATAGCAGAACCCTTGATTTCAATGAATTTGTGAGAGGACTACATCAATACGCTGTGATGATCACTAAGGAAGAGGCACAAGAGGTTTTCCAGCTATTTGATAAAGACGGCAGTGGAACAATTGATTTTGATGAATTTCTTGTTACACTAAGAGTAAGTCTGGGAATTTATGTTATTATTGCATTAAATGGATTAAGATATAGTGGAACAGAACAGAACAAAGTAGAATAGAATATTTGCAAATAAACAGTTGTGATTTTTTTTTCAATTAATTGAGGCCTTGATTTAGATACCGAAATTCCTGTGCTGCAGTCTGGGTACCTGTGCAGTTCAACCCTTCAATCTCACTCCTTTGCCGGCCATTTTGTGATGCATCTCTTTATAACATTAACTTATTCAGGGGATACTTTCTCCAATCCACCACAGTGATTGATTTTGTCTGAAGTATCTTTTCTCTGCTGATGCCTAAACAATTAAGATAGAAAATACTAGTACTTTGGGTAATTAATAATTTTTTGTTGGAAATATTTAAAATGGGAAGATCATGAAAGTGTTCTAGGTAGTATTTTCTTTCTTATTGTCCATTTGCTATTGTATGGGTAGACACTGAATGGTCTTAATCATATTGCTCTTTTGGGGATATGTTGCCCTTTCTAGCTCCTGGACAGTGTAAACTATCACCAGTATATTGTCCCGTCTACCTTGAAAGTTTTGCTATTAGCAACAAGTACTTGAATTTGGAACTGGGCAAGTAGTTGGCAAAAACAAAATTATTCTGTTACTATTTCCTTACAGCCTCCCATGTCCAGTGCAAGAAAAGAGATTGTCATGCAGGCATTTCAGAAGTTAGACAAGACTGGAAATGGTGTCATAACAATTGAAGACTTACGCAGGACATATAATGCAAAACATCATCCCAAATACCTAAATGGAGACTGGACAGAAGATCAAGTTTTTAGAGCCTTTCTGGATAATTTTGATTCACCCTATGACAAAGATGGGAAAGTAAGTGAAGCACCTGATTGCAACCTATGAAATCACCATCTGACTCAGAACTTGACTTAGGTTATTAAGTGGGGGAGTAATTGCAGTACCAAACATCCATTTGCATCACATTTATATGGAAAATCAAAGTAGATGCATAACCTGTGCACAGCATCTGATACAGCTGGCTTGCACATTCTGAAGCAAAGGGACTCTGCAGGAGGTACAAGGGTGGTTGTGAGATTGCATTAAGGCTTGTAGCCTTAATAATCGATTTTCATAGATCACACTAAGTACATATTCAGACTATCCCCCAAAATTGCTGATTTTAATGATCCACATAAATTGGGGGATTTTTCACTTTTTAGGAGAACAAATACTAGGATCCAGTTCAAAAGCAGGCTCCCTGCTTTGTTGAATACTTTACAGTTAGTTCTTCTCCAGTGTAATTACTGAGACACTTGACTTGGAAATCAGTCCATAATAGAGACAGATTTATCTACAGAGAGTTGGAGGGAAAATGGGGCTGGGGCTACTGCCACGGGCATGTACCCTGAAGAGCCATGAGCTAGGACAGAGCCATGAGCTGGGAGCCCTTCCTGCACCCTGGCTCAGGTGCAAAGCCTGGGCACTTTCATGATGGACTTCTTATACATCCGCTCTGCAACCATCTCTGAGCCAAGCATGCTCTTTCCTCCTTTTATATGTCTGCAGACTTCTTTGGTCTGAATTTACATCTGCTGACCAGCTCAGAGCAATCCTGTATCTCTGTGGTTCACTTGATGATATTCTCAATCTGAGCAGTTAATAATAATAAACTAGGTGTAAGTTTCTATCAGTGCTTTGTGGAATGCCTTTAACACTTCCCACTCTCCAGGCTGCACCTGCTTTTCAGGCCTGTATTGCACTGGTGACTCCTACCTGTCTAACACTCCACCCAAATACTTCATTTTCTTTGTTCCTACCACTCAGGCTCTCTGTTGTAGAGGTGGTGGCGTTTATCTACTTTAGGCATGACTTTGCACTTAGCAGAGCTGAATTTCATCCCCTCTGCTGCAGTGTCATCCTCAGAGATACCAGTTCAGAGCCAGCTATCCTCTTCCACCTCCAGTGGTGACACCTAGCAAATTTCAAGCAAAATGTTCCTGCTTTTTGTGCTGAGGTCATACATGAATGAACACATTAAATGAGTTCCCAAACTGATTCTTGATGAGTTCAGTGCCTGGTCACTCTGAACATCCCCCTCTTGGTCAGAAATCCTGATGTTAGCTCACCTGATTACTCTTTCTTCTGAGAACAGACTGTGGCTTTCCTGAATCAGAAGACACTAATGATACTGAATACCTAAAATGTTTTTAGCAGAAATACCTCAAGGTTGAGCATTTGCTAGAAAGGCCCTCTTCGCCGTGGTCTTGCTGGGTGCCTCTACAATAGGCAGTTTTAGTGAGGCTTGTAATCATCTTGTGATGGTAGGACAGTCTGAAGTGGTCCCTTCTCCCTGTTGTTATGTTTTGTTAAGTTCTCAAACACACAATGCAATCAGAGCAGATATCATGGAATCACAGAATATACTAAGTTAGAAGAAACCCATCAGGACCATCAGATCCAAATCCCGGCCCTGCACAGCATACCCAGAAATCACACCATGGGCCTGAGAGCATTGTCCAAATGCTTCTTGATCTCTGTCAGGCTGGTGCTATGACCACTGCCCTGAGGACCCCATTCCCAGTGCCCAACAGCCCTCTGGGAAAGAGCCTTTTCCTGAAATCCGGCCTAGACTTCCCCTGACACAACTTTAGGCCACTCCCTTGGATGCTGTCACTGGTCACCAAGGAGCAGGGATCAGTGCCTGCCCCTCCTCTTCCCCTCATGAGAGAGCTGTAGCTGCAGTGAGGTCTCCCCTCATCTCCTCCAGGCTGAACAGACCAAGAGACCTCAGCCACTCCTCACACAGCTTTCCCTCCAGACCCTTCAGCATCTTCCTGGCCCTCCTTTGGACACCCTCTAATAGCTAAATGTCTTTTTAATATTGTTTTGTATTTTTCAAATTTTTCTTTGTTTGTTTAAAGAATGACCTACACAATTCAAGAGTTCAGGCATCACAAGAGACCTGCACAGTTTTTCTCTTGGTTAATTTGATTATTTATTTTTTATGGTCATTTTTAAACCTCAAAATATCCATGAAAGCTATTCAAAACTCTTAGGTATTTGAAATAATATTTGCTTCATTAAGGGAGACTTGTTTAGAGCAATGATATTTTCCCTCTAGGGGTGGATATAAAGTTCCAAGCTGTCTCTGAATTGCACCAGAAACCTCACCCACTTTATTAATAATTATGCAAAGAACCACATTATAGCATCCCTGGAAAAAAGTACATAAAAAATTTGTCATCTTAGGCAGCAATTCTTTTGACTTCAGTTCCTGGTAAGGTTAGTTAAACTTCACGTGTTTCATCTCCATCCAAGTGTTGTGGAGGACAAGAGCTCTTGTTTCTAGCAAAGTGAAATTAAGGAAATTATAAGTGTCTTAATTCCTTCTGTTGGATTCCTTTTTGTTAGCCACAACATGAAATGGCAGATGTTCAGTTTCATTAAAGGGTCTTCTCAATGTGTTGTTTTGACTTACAGCATTAAATAAAAGCAAAAATTCATTTTCCTATTCTTAATCTCTCTGTCTCAGGTCACAACAGAAGAATTCATGAACTACTATGCCGGAGTCAGCGCTTCAGTAGACACAGACGTCTACTTTATCATCATGATGAAGAATGTTTGGAAACTCTAATTGTGTACTTAAAGAAGCAAAACTTTTCTTTCACCTTTTATAGGGTCCTCTAATAAAGTGTATACACAGCAACACCCTCTTGTTCCATAACAACAGTTTCCAGTAATTATGACAATTACTTTCAATCTGCAGAATTAATTCCCAGATACTTCAGTAGGCTCAGCCTCAGGGAATCAGAGCATAATCAGAGAGCAGATCTGACATTTGGCCACCCCACACATCTGTCGTTTTTCTCTTTCCATCCCTTTTCTGAGATGAGCTGTTCTTTTCTTTTCTGACATCTGCAATAGGTCACTGTGGCTCCTGAACATCCCCTTTGCAATGTTAGTTACAACTCTGTTTTGCAGAAGATGCAAGAGATGGAAACCAAAATATTCTGAAGTCTGGTGGTCTTGGACAGGCTGTTTTAAATGGAAGGCAGTCTGTCCCAAGAAGGTCACGTAGACCTGTCGCTTGTACCACTGCAGTATCTCTTGGCTTCGTGGGTCTCACTAGTGTGATAGAGCAATGCTGATCTTGCTGCTGGGAACATGTGAGTTCCCAGTACCGGGAGGCTGGAGGGGCAATCAAAGACAGGGAGACATGGACCAGGATAAATGAAAAATGCTTTTTAAAGCCCTATTTTTTATTCTGGCTCACAACTAAACATACAGACAACTTTCCTGTGCATACCATGTTTGAACCTTTTGTGCAGCTTCTTATGTGCAGGATTTTACTCTGTGGCTGCATTTCTCTTCACAGAGAAAAGCAAGGCACAACTTCCCAAGGATATTTTCTGGGAATCACAGCGAGGAACCTCAGAGAAAGAAAAAGTAATTCTTACCTCAATTGCTGCTCCTCTTGTTGTGCTCATGTGGAATGCATTCTGGAGATTGTTTACCTGAGATGACCAATTGCATCCACGTGTGTGTGTCAGGACTGTCGGGAGACAGTCACGAGATTCAATGCAGTTGGGTGCTTGTGCAGTTTCAGTTTAGATGTAGTGTAATATAGTATAGAATAATATAGTATAATGAAGTAATTAATTAGCCTTCTGATATCATGGAGTCAGATGCAACATTCTTCCCAGAGGTCGGGCAAAAATATCACTGATATTACTCCCCTCCTCCTGCTTTGATTCCTATACTGTGAGGTCATTTTACTTATATTTTTCTTCAAAGGGGATACATGTGTTACAGTATTTTTTCTCTCTCTGTTCCTGGAATGTTTGTTGACCTGGTAGCAGTTGCCTGTACATCCCTACACTAAAAGTTGTTTACTACTTATTTGTGTTTGCAATGATATATGACCAAGATGTGACTTCAGACCAAAAATGAAAACCTCATAACTTTCTTATCTTGCTGTCTTCTGTTTCTGATGCTGAATTAAGACTGGGAACCTACCCTTCTTGTCACATCAGTGAGGCTGTCTAAGCTCATCTGTTATCCTTTGTCCATACAGACAGGGCAGAAATGGTACACAAAGGAAACTGGGAAAAAAAATCCTGAAAAAAACTAGTGTGTAAGTGTGTGGTGTCTAATTTTTTCTGCTTTGATACCTTTTTCCTTCTTCTTCTACTTTCTGCTCCTGTTTTATCATTTTGCTGCTCTCCCAGACTGAGAAGCTGCTGCTGTTGCAGAGAGTAAATGCATTGTGCATGGCAGCATTTGCTCCATTTCAGCCTGGCAGCCAGCTAAAAGCAGTACAGGCTTATAGAATGGACTTCAAAACACCCTTTCTCATGAAGTTGCAGTTCTTAGCCTGGGTTGCTAACTGTTCAAACACTGAAGTCCTGAGTGCTTGCTGCACTGATTCTCTGATTTTTCTTTTGTCCAGCAATGACCTCAGTATGAGCAATATCTGCTTGCAATTCCTTAGTGAAGGTTGTACAAGCTATATTAGTTTCTTGACCAGTAAGACTCTGATCTTGTATACTGGATGACACTGGAAACTGGTGGAGAAACTCTCTTTATGATTGCCAGCCATCATAAGAGGAGCCTTTACTCACTGTAATGCTAATGAAGTGCCAATATATATGAAAAACAAACTTACTATCAAATAAGGGCTGTATGTGGTCTGGCAACTTGAATAGAATCCATTCACTTCTCTTTTATTAATTGTTTTCACAACATGGTGTCATGCTATCTGTCCTCTCTTTAAAACAGAAAGAAAGTAATGTGGATGGATTGTGGGAATCACAAAATGAAAGAAACATTTCCTTTTGACTTGCTATCTCATGTCTTCACACCCTGCAGTGATCTGACAGGCTGATATTTGTTCAAGGGAAGTAGCAGTTTTAATTTGAGTAACTGCAGCCAGTTTGTCTTTGGTACTAATACCTTCCAATTTTACTTAATCCCAAACCGATGTACATTTTCACAAGGGAGGATTGGTACTGAAAGCAATTGTACTTTTTGGGAACCAGCAGAAGTTTTGCCACTAGGTCCTGGGAGCCTTAGCTAGGCCTGTGGCAGCTGGGGAAAATCCTGTGCTTCAGGACAAGATTTCTACACTGAGCTGGACTAATGGGGTTTGTGTGGGGACTTGAAGGATGTGATCCAGGAAAACTTAAACCCCCTCACTTTGGTGGTGTATCCCTGGTACTTTCAAAACCAGTTTCCAGCTCAGGTCTGCCTGCGTGTGGACCTCATTGCTCACTGGATATGTTTCCTGAGAACATGGTTCCCAGTGGAGTCATTTCAACATTTGTACAGAACCATGTTTCCAAGGGCTGGTTTCAGGTGCTTTGGAAATCAGGGGCAAAGTTTCCTTTTACTTCTGTGGGAACAGAATAGCTCTTAGAGCAGTCTGAATAACAACTGGTAACTTCAGAAAAGGTATAGTGCTTGCAGGGGAAAAAAAAATCCGGGAACTCAAAACCCATGATTTTTCACTAGTAATCAGACACTATAGAACTCAAATTGGAATCTGGCCTGTATGAAATGTAGTTTGATTAATATGTGTGCAAATTAATGGAACAAACACCGGCATTAGCTGCTAGATAGTAAAATCTCTACTGGCGAACGTGCAGCCATAATGGCACACTAGACACACACACTGGATGTTTAGAGGAAGTACTTTTCAGGGATGAAAGGAAAGTTAAAGGGATTTGAACCAGACAAGAGGGATTTTCAAGACTAACACCAAGTGCCCAGATCCTTTCTTCAGCATTCCTCTCTCCCTCTCTGTGATCTGGGAGACCCAAAAATGAAGCTGAAAGGCCCCTTTTCATATGCAGCTGCAGTGTGCTGGTTACAGACCCAGCAGATGCAGGAGATAGATAAGTGGTGATGCTGTCCTGCCAGCCTGTGGCTTCACAGCACACACAGCAGATTTTGTGAGATAGGTGGCAATGCACACCATTGTATCTGGTGCTAGCATCAAGATGGGAGATCTTGGTTGGTGCTTCATGTTCAAAGCACTATTTCTTCATTCTGATTGTGCAACAGCTGCTGAACAGGATGGCACAAACCACAGGAACATCTGATTCTGCAGGGCAGGGGGGCAGTCCCAGAGGTGCAGGTTTTGCTTGCAGCTTGAGTTCCAGCCTGCTGCCTGGCACAGTATCTTGTCAGGAATAAGGTCTGCCCTCCTCAACAGCATGCACTGAAGTTTGCTCCAAAAATGTTGGTAGAGCCCTGCGGGAGCAAGAGAAAAGGCTCCCTATAACTCTTCCAGAACTCTGCCCCCACTTCTTCCCTCTGCATGAGCCATCAGAGCACCTTGGTGACACCACCCCACTACCCCAAAAGAGCACAAGGTACGGGAAAAAAGGTGTGGGACAGCCTTTTCTTCTGGTGTCTTCCTCTTGGAAAGCTGGCATTTCAGCAGCTTCCTTCACTACATTTCCATTCTGGCCTCCCTGTGCTCTTTGTGGCTTCATGTTTCTGTCTGTGAGAGGAAATTTTTGGCTTGATGTGATACAGAAATATTTTTTGTTTTATACTGTATCCTGCAGAACAAAATTCTGATTCAAGCACCTGAGTTTAATGCAAGCCCCACTCTCTGCCATATATCCTTGAAACTAGACCACAAGAGATTTTCAGTGATTTGATTCATTCTGCTGCTCTTGTGACACAAAGCTATCTTGGCACAGGAGAGGACAGCAGCAGAAGTCTTGCAGATGAAATCACCTGTGCACATTGCTGTATGAAAGCCAACTTGCCTTTATGTCATTCCTTGCACACTGCTACCTCAAACCCCTGCAGCCATGTGGGCAGAGCACGGCTTTCCCATCACAGAGGTGTCACTGGCAGAAGGAGCAAGACCAGTGATTTTGCTGATTTTTGTCTTGCAGCTCCTATCCTCCACACTGGGAGCAGTAGCAGCAGCAGCACACTGAGGTTTCCCAGTAAAGAGGTAATGCCAAGAGCAACCTGGCACTGCCAGCAGCTGCCTGCTGTCTATTGTCACTGTGATTATAGCTCACCCTGTTTCTCTAGCTTTCCTCTCTTGTAGGGCGAGCAAAAAGCAGGATTCCCAGTAGCCTGTGCTTAACAGCAGCCCTCAGGTGGCTGAAAGCTGCCTCTCTGTTTGCAGCAGCCCCCTGGCTATACTGGTGTGCCTCGGCAGAGTCTGAAACCCCTGTGGTTTTAAAGCGAGCTTGGTTTTGGCTCTAGCACCTCTTCCACGCTCATGCCTGGAGGTTTGCAGCCACCCCAGGTACAGCAGCCCCACCTCCACAAAAACATGGACCCAGGCTTCGCTCCAGCTCACAGCACTGCTGCTGATCCCAACAGGTGTTGCAGCTGGAGACTGGGGACAGGATCCAGCCTTTGTTGAATATCTTGGAAAGAAAGGAAGCACAAGGTTGTGTGGAAGTTGAATCAAGTCTTGTTTTCTGTGGAAAAGCAGAGATTGTGGTAAAATGAGAGAAGTGGGGTTTTTTTTCCTGAGATAAATCTGTTCCTTTTTTCATTTTAACATGGTATTTTTTCCAAAAGCTGCAGTATTTTAATTCTTGTTGGGTTTTTTTGTTTGCTTGTTAGGTTTTTTTATTTTTACTTTCAAAAGGTAGAGTG